CAGTACTCAAAATATGCACCAGTATCATCAGAAAAAGGCAGGATGACAACTAAAACCTCATTTTTCCAGCCCTTCTCTAGTGATAAAACAGTTTGATGGTGCAAACTCCCCTCACCCTGATGCCACAGGTAACACCTCAGCCCAGAGCAGGGAAAAGAAGGAAGGAATAAAGTGAACACATTTTGTCTCATTTCCTCCAGGGGCCTCTCCCCAGCAGTGAGACTGGAGTCACTGGAAGCACAGATCCCACTTAAACTCTGATTTTCCTCCTTCAAGGGAGGGCTCCCAGCCCGTGCAGAGCATCCTGGCTGCACAATAACCCCGGCCATCAATGAGAGCAGTGCTGAATAAGCCTTTCCTTGCCCAGAGACCTTTGTGCTTGTGATCAGCAATAAAAGGCTGCTCTTGGAATTTAGAACCACTGCCAGGTGAAATACCGCAGATGATTATTTAAAGGCTTTAAATAAAAAAAAAAAAAAAAAGCCCTGTGTCTGTAAGAACCAGCTTTTCACATTCACATTGTCTGGCTGTGGACTCATAGCTGGGTTATGAAAGCAGCCCAAAATAAGATGAGATATAATAAAACACAAGCTGGGCTTAAGCAAGAATTGATTTCTGACAGCAGTTCTCAATGTTTTAAACACTAGCTGCAGACCTCATATATTTCTGAATTCAATTGCACAATTCCCAGTGATTTAGCATTACAAAAATTTACATATTTCCATGCTCAGAATTTGAAAAGCTCAAACAACGAGAAACTTTGGTTGACATAAACACAGTTCAAAGAAAACAGTATTTTTTTTTCCCACTGAACTAAGCCACTGGCAGCAGATGACTGACATCCTACATGTGCTGAATATATCTTGTACCTCTAAGCCCTTCTGCTGTGAATTCCTTTCCATGCTGTATTTCTACAATCTGGATTTTAACTTGTGAGGTGAGAACTACAGAAAAATAGACAGCTAAATAAATACAGAAGAAAATTTGCCAGATGTGCCTTAGACACATGAAAGGACTGAAAATTAAAGAAAACAATCAATATAAATGAGAAGGTCATAACTTCAGGTGGGATGAGCCAGCACAGGGGGTGGGGGAAGTTGATTTTCAAGGAATGACGAGGAGGAGCTTGGACTGATGGACACAGAGGGCAGGTGCAGGGTGTGAAGGACAAATGCACAATATTTCTACTCATAAATGGGAAAATTTAAGTTCCTGTAACTAAAAAACAGGACACTGAAGATTGCAGTCCTCAGCAATGTTACTGTTCACAAACATAATTTTCATTTTTAGACTTTTGGTTGAATCAATATCCAATTTTTCAAAATAATAGCATGCACTCTTAGAAAAGAAGACATTGCTAATTCCAGATAAGTAAAGCCCAGCTTTACTTAGCTTTCTTCTGGAGCATTATCCCACTCAAGTTCATCTTTCACAAATGCTGACACAAGCCACAAAGACTTTACTTCATAAAAACAGCATCTTTTCTCTTTTCCTTTTCTCCTTTTTTCTTTTCTTTTTTCTCTTTTCTTTTTTCTTTTATTTTCTTTTTCCTTCTTCCCAAACTACACCCACAGCCCCGACTGAAACTTTCAGTTGGAACAGCAGGGCAGCCTGACAAGAACAGTAGAAGAAACTTTATCTTAAGTATTTATTGTTATGCTGGAATATCACTCAGCTTCCTCTGGGGTAATTCAGCACTCTTGTGGGAAATGTGTGACCTCATTTGCATTTTCTAATTGAATTGCTATCAGGTTTCCTGCAAGACTGAACAAAAAAGTTCCCTGAGTTACTAACATCACTTGTATTAACCAGAAAAAAAAAGTTTACATTCAAGGGTTTGCTGGGGAGGAGGGGAAATGTATGCTTCGTGTATCATAAAATACATTTTTAAAGCAGTGCACTGTGCAGACAGAGTCACTCCTGGCCCCCCAAAATCTCAGCCAGCATCCCAAAAACACTGATTTCTCCCATAACATTCATTCTGTATTACAACCTCCACAATAAACCAAATGTCTAATAATGGCCATTCCAGGAGGGCTGGTTTTGATGCAGTTTTTATCCCTGGATAAGCATGAACTAAATTCTGATTTATCCTTTCAGAGGGGGTTCTGAGGGGTCCCTGTCACAAGGGACTGCCCTCACTGAGGGCCACTGCTCATTGCTCCAAGGTAAAAGGACTTTTCTTGTTCTATAGGCGCCAACAAACAGTGATCAGCAGATGCAATAACTGAATTTCATGCCAATTATTTATAATGTCTGGGAACTGTTCAGCATTTTCGCAAAAAAAGTCACAAATTTACAAAGTAAAATGGAAATAAATGGATGCACCAGAAGAAAACTGGTCTCCCTCCCTCTCTCAGGTCACCTCCTCCTTTCTCTCCCACATTTGCCATCTCTATATTCTGAGTATAACAAAACAATCTAAAATGTCTTAAAAAAACATATATATATATATCGTTCTGCTTGAGTCATATTATTCTGCACAAAACCAAATGTGAAATCTGCCTCTAGTAAAAGCCACAAAACACATAAGGGTCATGGCCTGAAACATATTGAACTGGATATTGTAAGGTTTGGGGTTCTTTTTTTCTGCACAAACACTATTATTTTTTAAAATAATCTCATAATCATATTTATTTCTTTAGTAAACAAAGGATTATTTTGCTTGCAAAAACCACAGGCATTTAAATAAAACACAAGTCAGATGCCCGCTATAGGGACCCACAATAAAACTGCTTATGACCTTGTCATTAGTCTTGTTTTCTGTATTTTTCCAGCCTCAAACTACACACTAATAAGGCTTTTAGAAAGGAGGGATATGAATTTTAAGAAGCTTAGCTCTCTGTTTTCAACCAGAGTTCAGATTACATTAACATTAGATGAATTTCCAACCAAATATTCTACTAAAACAGAAATGTGTGCTTATTCAGTTTTTTTTCTGCTACACTGAGAAGAAATTTAAAGCAGTATGTAAGACATCTTACTTTGTTCCTTCAATATTTAATTACTTTTAGAAGGAAGCAGTATTTCTTTGGTTAGAAATGGCAAATTGAGTTGACAATAACAAACAGGGTTTAATTACATCTTCCACAAGCTCAAGCCCTACTGAACAGCAGCAGAAGTATATTCACATGACTCTAAGACCTGCAAAACCTTAGGGGTCAGCCCAGTGGGCAAGTAAGAGATTTAAGTTTTTCCCTTTTTGTCTCAAATGTGGCAAAAACTCTCCCAAAGAGCACAGAGTTACATGGTGGAATTCTAACAACTTGACATAGGAAATCTCTCTTTGTTTTCTCACTCTGCCCTGCACTCTGTCCAAGCACTACAGACAGCATGGCAGCAGAAGCCAGTCTTGCTGTTTGGACCATTACTGGTTAATGGTTAATGAATCCAAATTACAGCCACAGCCCAGAGACCCCACCTGCCCCTGGAGGAGCCATGGCTGCTCCCAGGACACACACCGTCATCCTTACCATGCAAGTCCTCAGGATCCAGCAAAAAACCAGGCTCCTGAAACAATTCCATGGCAAATCCTGCCCAAATGTCACCACCAACCAGCCCAGCACCAGAGATAACTGATAACTGAAGAAAACTGCATTTACTCCATGTAGTGAAAGATCTTCAGCCCAGACTAGCACTGAAAATGAGAAGGTGAACTGCTGCTGCCAAAAATGATATGGAAGAGGTGAGAAAGCGGCAGCGACTCCAGGGGCAGAGCAGAACTGTGTTTTCCTGGAGCAGCCCCCAGCTGCAGCGGCTCTGTGCAGCCCACCAGCAGATTCTCACTGAAGGAACACTGCTCCCAGACTGCAGGGCAGGGACAGAGCCCTCCTGCCTTTCAGCCTGTATGGAGCTACAGCAGAAAGAAACCATCTGTGCCCTGCTGCCTGCAAGGCTGGCTCTGCTTTCCCAGGCGGGGTGGGCGAGGGGGCTGCTGGCACTGAGCACAGGGCACGGCTGGCACCGCGCGCCTCGCTGCCCGCCCCGTGTGTCAGCACGTGGCCCTTATCAGGCACCAGCAATGCTCCCTGCCCTTGCAAGGCAAGGAACAAGCCCAAATCTCCCCTCTGCAAGCTGCAGGGCCATGCAGATTGCTCGCCAGAGTGACTCTGAGAACCGGGGAGATGAGCAGCAGGGCAGAGCTGCCAGCGCGCGATTGCGCTGTCACAAAAGAAATCTGAGCTTAAACCATCAGGAAAACGGTTGGATTTGACTCTTCACCCTTCATCTCCTGGTTTGACTTGGAGTCAAGAGAGATTATCATTTGTGAGGTGCAAACATGATGTACATGATGTACGGAGTATGAACTTAGAGAACACTTCCTCACTGGAGACCTTAAATAATTTCTGTCAGAGAGGTTCAAGGATCATTTGCAAGGAATTTGATGCTGCTCATGGTGTCTCCTACCTGGACACTGCCTTACGGCAGGAATTGATATTGCTCATGGCATCTTATCACAGACATCTTTGATGAAAAATCCTTTTCTTAGGATTTTTCCTCCTGAGAAGCTGAGAGGCCCCAGGAACAAAATGTAAACAATGGTTATCTGCTGCTGTGGAATGCAACAGGTTGCATCTGTGATTGGCCCATGTTGGTTGTTTCTAATTAATGGCCAATCACATTCAGCTGGCTTGGACTTTCTCTCCGAGACACAAACCTTTGTTATCATTCTTTCTTCTTCTATTCTTAGCTAGCCTTCTGAAGAAATTCTTTCTTCTATTCTTTTAGTATAGTTTTAATGTAATATATATAATAAAAAAAAAAAAATCAGCCTTCTGAAACACGGAGTCAGATCCTCATCTCTTCCCTCATCCTAAGACCTCTGCGAACACGGTCACAGAATCTCCTACCTGGACACTTCCTTATGGTAGGAATTGATGCTGCTCATGGTGTCTCCTACCTGGACACTTCCTTAAGAAGCACAGACCAGACAACACAAAACACTTTGGGTCAAAGGAAGAACAAAGCAAGAAAAAGAGCTTTGGAAAAAAACCTCTTACCTTGTGTCCGTTGTGCTGGGACTTGTCTGCCACCAGGAACCTGACCATGGCCTCCCATGTGCCCAGGCTCTGGGGGTCCCAGGCGGTCACCACCAGGATCAGCTGCTTGGAGGGCACCTGCAGGTGGTGGGCGGCGAACAGGGTCCCGTCCGCCCTCACCTTGAAGTCCAGGCTGTTGGTTTCGTACCGCACGCCCTTGTTGCCAGCACAGTTATTAAATTTTACTAGAACAGAGAGGAAGAGAGGGGAGAAATGTGTGAGATTGGCGTGATAAGGAAAGCAATCAAATACAAGTTTCAGACATTTAATTTTCACTGATGTCTTCTATATCTCTAATAACCATCAAGGAAATGATTTAACTGTTTCTTCGACCTTTCAGGAGTGCTCTTGTGCTTTATCTCTGTTCCCCAGGGAAGAAGTTGTAAGCCATTTTTAAAGTATTTGATACAGTTTCATTAGATCTCAAACACAGCTGTTCCCCATTTGTACAAGTGGATTTCTCCCTTGTCGCCATTATCTTTTAAATTCAACTGGAGTCTATTACCCAAGCTGTGGGTATTTTTTTTCAGGAAATGTTCTCCATTTCCCTAACCCTTCAATAACCTACTTACCAGATAGGCTATTTGCACATTCTTAACTGAAATTCAAAAGCCCATAACAATTCCATTATCAGAAATATAAAAACAACAAAAAAATTTAACACAGAAATAAAAGTTGAAACCATTCTGGAGCACGCATCTGCTGCTGGAACTGGACCCCCCATCCTGATGCATTCCCACCTTGGCCAACCCCTCACATGTTACAGCTACTGCAAAAAGGAACTGTAAAACTGTGCTTCATAAACCATAACGTGTCATTTGAAAGCCTACTTTGTCAGATCAAAGCTCCCCAGTCGTTGATATTTCTATTTTTGCCTTTTTTTTTTGGTCAAAGTCTTTCACAGTCTAGTTTGAAAACTATTTTATTGGCATTATGAAACATGTCACATACATTAGACCAGGAAAAAAAACCTCAACCCTATTATACGACAGAATTGACAAATCGGATAGAAATGGAACCTGCAGCTAATAACACAGGAAACCAAACACTTTCTGCCATTTCAGTAATCCGCGGGGCGGAACACACATGTGGTGAAGGAAAACAGATTGTACCCGTACAAACATCTCAAGTGAGTGAGAGGGGATGCACAGCGCTCCAGCCCGGATTGCCAGGCAGGTTCTCATGCTGAGATGCTCCAGCCTGCCTGGAGAGGAGGAGAACCTGCTGGGCCAGCTCTGCTGGGCTTCAGCAAACACTGAATTCCCGCAGGACAGGGGCTGGGTCAGATGGATCCACCCAGGCTGGCTGCGGTGATGGGATGCAGGGATGCAGGGATGCACGGCACTGCAGGGTGAGGAGCTTCTGGGACACTTTGATCCCAGCTGTCCCCTTCCCCCTGTACCAACCACAGCTCTGCAGGGCTGCTCTGAGCTGAATCAAGCACTAATTTGGATTTAATGTAAAAAAAACCCTCAACCATGGCACAGGTGAAAGAAAAAAGCAGCCAGGAAATGGCTCAACACATCTGGCTGTCAAAGCCCCCAGGCACATCAAAGTAGGGAGAAATGAGGAGCAGACTGTGGCAGAGGAGGGGAAAATCCTTCCCCTCCTTCACCCCTCAATAACTGGGGTGCTGTGATTGTGCCGTATCTGTACATCTACAAGGCTTTCTGTGCTGTGTGTTTATTTAGACCACACTGGTACATTTTTATGTGTGTGGTGGGAAGTGTTACCAAATGCTGCCGCAACTGCTGGGCACAAACAGCGAATGTCACACATTGATTTATAAAAAATGAGATGGATAAAGTTCTCTAGTACAGAAAAACTACCTGAAAGCCCTGGGTGAGGGCAGGCTCACACAGGGCTTGCTGGGACATACAAGAACTGGGACAATCTCAGAGAGCTGCGAGCGGGGATTCCCTGGACCTCTGGGACAACCCTGCTGGGCGATCACCTTCATCTCTCCGGAATTTCTGCTAATCTCCCCTGCATTCACAGCTACAATAAATATGTGTGAACGTATCAAGTGCATCCTCACTTCTAAATGTTGTTTATTTTCAGCTCAACACCGCGGTCAGTGTCAGGAACCTGGCACATCAGCTGCTGTATGGCTGCACCCCTCTGCTGTGTAATGGTCACATAAAATTCAGGTTCCACCCCTGCTCCCCAAGTACCCACCTATCACTCACTGAAAGACATTTAAAGAAGAGAGAAAGGAGTGATAATGACTGCACAATAAAAAACATTTCAGAGCTTACTTTGATTTTACTGAGATTAAAAGAAAGCCCTACAGTAGTCTGAAAGGAAAAAAAAACAACCAACTTTTCTATGTGTGTATGTAGTGATTTCAGTATTCAAAGTACTTAAACATCTGCTTAAGACCCAGCTCGTGGCTCCAAGATGCTGCTCTGGTGTCATATGTCACTGTGTCGACTTTTATGCTCCATTATCTAAAAATGGCTACCTCGTAGACAAAGTCCCCCTGTGACTTGCTAATTACTTCCATTAGTTTAAAACAAACTTGACTAGAGACGGAGAAAACCCTGAGAGAAATCGTCTGATTCTTTTTTCTTTTTTTTTTTTTTAAAACAAGCACCTTCTCTGCCCCACAGTGCTCCTCTCAGGTAGCACAGGCAGGTGAATGCTCAGCATGGGATTAGCACAGCCAGCTCCTCAAAGATCCACAAAATCTATAAACCTCATTTATATATATTTATCCATAAAATACTTTTCCCAAATATATGTGTACAGGCTTAGGGGAAAAAAAAAAACCCTAAGCTATTGTTCTATAATAAATAGCATAGCTCAAGGAAAGGAAATCTCATCCATAATTTCAAATTCTACCTGTTACCCCTACTCTTTGCTCTTGTGGAGACAGAAATTAAAATTTCATTCAATGGCAGACAACTTTTGCTTTTTTTCCTCCTTTTTCTCCCTTAGAAATCTCTATGTGTACGTAATTTTCAGTTGATGCAACTTTTGACTTTCAAATAATGGGAAAAATAAATAAACAACCGTTGTCTGTGTTTACTAGTCTTAAAACTCTCTGTGGACACAAATCAATCTTTCTTTGACCAGTCTGAAGACTAAAGAACAGTGCACGAATTTAACATTCAAAAGCCGCAGCATCAGTAATTAGGATTTTGGATAAACAGCAGAGTCACACATCTATCATTTTTACAGGATGGTAAAAAAAAAACAACCAACTTTTAAAAAAATACACTGGAAAAATGTTCAGTGAAGCTTATCGAAAGCTTATGCTGAAAACAACATCTAATACCTGATGAAAGGAAAACCAAGAAGGCACCCTCATTAGCAAGCTTTTAGGTTTAACCCTTTACCCTCATCATTTTTAATTGCTTCTCTATGAAAGGAGGAAGTACAACAATTTGATAAGCTGAAACAGGTACTGAGTGATGGGCAGAGAAGCTGCAGGAGTCTGCAGCAAACTGCTGGGCATCTGAGGAAAAAAAATGGTATTTTACTTCAAAAAAGACACAGGGTGAAAAAAAAAATTCAACAAGTTTTGCATTGTTCCCTTTTATTATTTAGCTTGTTAAGCTGGCTGGCCAGAGTCAAATGATCAAGTCAGGATCTTGAAAGATGTACGAATACACTGAACTTCTTGCCCCCCAAATGTCTGAGAGAAATACTGAATTTAATAGGACTATAAATGGTATAAACCAAAGAATTCGCTTTTAGCCTTATCCTTCTGGATTTTCCTTTGACTTTTTCTAGTCCATTAAAAAGTGCCCCCTCTGGCAAGCAGCACAGGGCTGGCAGAGCAGGAGGGATAATACCCGTTTATTAGGATAAACCCCCTGGCAGGACATCATCCCACAGTTCAGGATATGGGTCCCTTCAGGACTCTGTTTTCCACCGTGGTTTTGAGGATTATGGGTCCCTTCAGGACTCTGTTTTCCACCGTGGTTTTGAGGATTATCTCTGCAAAAGATGTTCCTTGCCTGATGAACTTTAAAGCAGCAAACACACAGCACTATTTCCAGCAGGATCCATCTGCTTTTCAAGCCGTGTCTCTTGACCAGCTCCCCTGCACCCGGTGCACTGTGATAAATCTAAGCTGCCAAATCCCCCCCTCGCCCCTTCTGTGAACATCATTAAGGTGAGGATGGCTCAACTGCAGCCTTTGGGATTTTCAGATGTCTGGGTAACCTGCAGAGTCCTCACCACGCACGGAAATGTCCCTCCTGTGTGATCATGAGCAAATCACTTGAATTCCTGCCCTGGCACTTCTGGCCTGATGCTCCCAAATGTCTGCACTCATCCATCTCCTCTGGCTTCTGCAGGGGGGTCAGTCCTAGCCAGCATTCCCTGAGTGTCTCCACACCAGAAATTACAAAATCCCAAACACGTCCTGTGTGGAGAGGCTCCTGTTGCCTAAGAACTGAGACCATTCAGTTAACCACAAAAATGCACGGGCACATTACAGCCTCACAAAGTGACTTCTCCATTAAGTGCTAATGTGAAGCAGAGCGTGCTGTGCCTTGTTGGGAAGCTGCATTTATTGGGCAAAGTAAGTATGCAGCATAAAATTTTACACGGCCACATTTTGGAGGCATCCTTCTTTACGTTTGTGCAATCCCTCTGTGAGTCTGTGAGAAAACTGTTTTACAGCAGTGGAACCAAGTGCAGCTGAGTCAAATCCCCATGGCCACGCTGGAGCAAAGCTGGGATGTGAGTGCTGGAATTCAAACTGCCAGGAAACTGCCTCCATCACCAGATACAAGTGAAAAAGACAGAGAAATTAGAAATATGGACTTTCAGAAAGCAAACAGAGCAGATCCTTCTCCTTACTAACTACTGGGCATTGCCAGATTAGTGCAGGGTGAAAAACTTAAGGGATGTCACACAAATTATTGCAATTGTTGTGTGAAATGGAGTCCCATGAGCACGTGTAAATACACAGTGGAATTATTATGTGACTGAAATATCTTGTCTACAAAAGGCAATAGCTGAGATGGAGGCAAGAGAACTTTAATAGAATTAGAGAGTCACAAAGGTTGGAAGAGAGCTCTAAGGTGACAGAGACCAGCCCTTAACCCAACCCTGGCAGGTCCAGCCCTAAACCATGTCCCCAAGTGCCACATCTACATGTCATTTGAGCACTCCCATGGATGCTGCTTCCATCACTTCCCTGTGCTCCGGTTCTACTGCTTGACAACCC